CATTCAAAGCAAGGAAAAACCCTGACAAGAGGACGCTTTTCAGGAGAAGTCTCACAGCAGGTTTCAGCCTGAAACTTGGGCCTTTTCACATGCACAAAGACTTTGTGTTGTTAAGCAACACTATTCACTGTCTATGACCAACACCAAGATTTGGCCAAATGACCAGCTCACTATGTGAGTCACATGTTCTGGGAATGTGGTTAATGCCGTCCTTGGTTACCATAGTAGCAGGAAGCAGGAAATATTACATTAATTAAAGCACTGGATAAATTTGTAGAGTGGCATATGTGATTCATTTTGATGAGAGAGCCACGAAGGCACCAAGGGAGGTGAGAACAGTAAAGAAAGCACAGAGAGAAAGTGAAAGTATAGAGTTGGGAGAAGGTCAACAGCGGGTGAAAGTGAAATAAAGGGTGAGACGAGGAGGGGAATGGGAAAAGAATGTGTGTAAGAGAAGCAGAAATATGCCTGATAAAACCACATATCTATGCAGATAAACAGAGAAAACACAGTTAATCGAGATCTGGACACTTGTGAATGAAACAGAAGCGAGTGAAAGGCGATGACACGCAGGCGAAGAGACGTTCTGTGGACGAGATGCTCACCATGTTGAAATAGGAGCGGATCTTCACTCCTCTGGCTAGATCCCACACGATACAATTCCCATCATGCCCCGCTGAGAAAAGGATTCTCGGATCAAAGGGATGTGGCTCCAGAACAAACACTTCATCCTCGTGACCCTGTCGACCAACAACACGAACATCTAGGATTAGATTAAGAAATAAGAAAAGAGAAGCAACAGCCAAACCTGACTTTTTATGCTTAAGCCCACACACAGCTGAGCATATTTTGCATTCCTCTCACTGTTAGTGTGCAAACCCACATGCTTTTTAAGTTAACAAGTAAAAAAATCATGTTCATCTGTTTTTTGTTTGCTTTTTTTATATACGCTGTTTTCATCAAATGTTCCAGTTTCATCACTGCGTCACCAAGGAGACTCTGACAGCGTGTTAGCAACTAGATTTCTGATCAAAAGATAAAGTAAAAATGATGAAAACAAGGCCAAGAGCCAAGTAGTGAAACAGCAGCAGCCTAAGATGACCCTAACAGCAACACTGTAATACAGAGAGAGATACATTTCGGTGCTTTTTTT